TTTTTTTTTTCTGCTTTTTTTTTTTCTGCTTTTTTTTTTCTGCTTTTTTTCCCTGTTTTCTTCTAACATCCACGGGGCTACTGTTGGTGGTGATAAGAGCAACCCCCAATTGTAGGGTCCCATGGTTCCCGTCTATTGGTGGTAAGGTGCACCTGCTTGGACAAAGGGTCCCCCCTCCCCTGAAGAACAAGTTCAGATTTGTCACTGGAGAATTGATTGCTGTGGGTTGCGACGGGATTGACCGCCAGTGCTTTGACTTGTGCCAGAGGCCTGTCTGTCTCTTCAGCTTATTTCTAAGGCTGCCTGCTAGGAAGTGCTCTCTCTGGCAGAAACCTCCTCTGCTTATGTCTGCCTGCCTCTTCAGCATATTTCTAACGCCGCCTGCTAGGAAGTGCTCTCTCTGGCGGAAACCTCCTCTGCTTATTCCATCCCATACCACAGAAGATCAATCAACGCTTGCCCCGGGGGAGGGAACATATCCGGAGATTCTGAGAGGGGATGCAGTGGCACCGCAGGATCCTGCTTCGTCCAGTCATGACACACCAGCTCATAGTCTCTCTGTATGGTGTCTCTTCCCTTTCCTTCCCAGGTCAGACAGGCTATCCACCCCCCTCTCCCCCCCCCTCTTTCTCCCCCCACTGCCCCCAGCCAGTCCTTGTTGAATGTTTGAATTTCTTTCAGGAGCTCTACAGTGGAAAAGATGTACACATGAAATGGAAGGGGTGAGGATAGACGTCTTAGAAGATGAAGATTTCACTGAGACTCTGAGACAATCAAACAACAAATCCAATCTGCACTTCTCAACAGACGGACAAGAGCGGAACTTAAGTTAGATCGCGTCTAATGTCTTCTTTTTCCCTTGTACTCCTCTTCTTTTCCTTCTCCTTTCCTCCTCCTTTTGTTCGCCCTTACTTGACCTCTTCCTTTTCCTACAGCCACTGCTGCCACTGCTGCTACTGCTGCTACTTCCCCGACCATCACCACAACTACCATCACTACCTCAGTATCAGCACTACCGCTAGCACTACTACCTCTACCGCACCACCACACCCATCAACACCATCACCATCACCATCGCTCCCACCCCCGCCCCCATCACCATCACCATCACCATCACCATCACCATCACCATCACCATCGCTCCCACCCCCATCACCATCACCATCACCATCATCAACAGCAGCACCACAGCCGCCACCACGACAACAACTACAACTGCCACTGCCTTATTTGCTCTAAGGCCCCTCAATGTGCAGAAATGCTTCCCAGTAAAGAGTGCTCTAAACCCCCTCAATGTTCAGTTCAGTTCCTCCAGAATGTTTTATCTAGTGGAGAAATTCCCCCAAAGCATGACAGCAAAGGTTTTGCAAACTGTTACTACGCCTTCTTGGAAGGCATTAGGGAAAATAAAGGCACACAAGAGCAGCGGTCGGCCGTCGCTGCGCAGATTACTATGGCTTCCACGTCCTGTCACTGGGGCACGCAGGAAGATAAACTGTGCCGTTGTTCGAGGAGCGTCCGAGCCCTCAACGTTCCTGCTTAACCTGAGTCATTCAGGAAGTTTTCTGCTTGACTCTGCTGTCTAGCCTGTGTCTATCAGGCAGTAGTCTGATGCCTTGCACTCGAGGCATTGGCATCATAACTGCGGGCGTGATCAAGCCAGGACTTTCCCGGCTCTATTTGATAGTGACAACAGTTATTATCTGTCAGATACATCATGAGAAATGGCAATGGGTGCACTGCACCGTGTCTGTGCCATGTGGGTTCACTCAGGCCTCCCATGCTCTTAATTCTATCTGGTCCAACCCTTCAACAACCCAGGCTTCAATTTCCCAATGTCTTGGAGGACGAAATACAGTTTGTAACAGAGCATGTTTGTCTTTTGCAGAGTGATCTGCAGATAACAATGTTGTGAGGTGTGGCGTCTGCTCACAAAGGGCCACAAGGTGGATTCTTTTCTTTTCGTGAACTCAGGTCTGGATGGGTTGAAGTTTTTCTGGGCACCAAGGACCAGCAAAATTGTAGGACCCGTCCTTCCCAAAAAAAAGCAAGCCGTGGGTAGGGGTTGAGGCCTAGGTCTTCACAACCCACTTCATCAAATCACTTGGTCTAGATCGGCCTTCCCCATTGCCACAGTGCCAGTTTTTCTTCCCCCACTCTATCTTCAAGATCAGGCCGCTTCCATCTCCCATGTTCTTTCAAAATAGCTGAGGAGCAGCGTCGGGGACGCGACGGGACGAACCGTACAGATTTCGGTACGACCGTCCGTACGGGCCCCCAAAGCCCGTACAGACCGTCCGTACCGACTTTGGCCCCTCCGTACATGGCCGTTAGGGGGGGTTGTCAGGGGAATGAGGGGCTGGGGGGGGTGCGGGTGTCAGGAGGTACCCCCCCCCCAATCTTTTTTTTTT